CATTCCTTGTGCTAGAGTAATTGGTTACACTAATAAAAAGTCAAATCCAAGTCCAATCACCCTCAGGTGAATACTGTGCATAGTGTACTACCAGGGCAGAGCATTTGCAGCRCTTTGGTAAGTGAGGACAGTTAACATCTCTATATACTTGCACCTGTGAAGTTCAGAGCCTATTATTTCCCCACACACTTTCTCTTACAGATCAGCCAACTTCCTCTCTGTTAAAACACTCTGCTGAAATTCAGTGAGCCCAGACCACTGTGGAGAAAAGAGATAGGAGTCTGTCCCTGGTTTTAAGGAAAGCTATCTACCTGGTTTAAGGATATGGCTCTGAACAGAATACCYCTGCCTAAGCCTATTTAAAATAGGAGATTTCAAGCCAGCCAATGCCTTTCTCATCACTTGTAATAGACAATTATTTCCTGGGAAGAGCTATTACAATTTGAACTCTCAAAATGGCCCTGAGTATTCTAGTGGTAACCAAAAACTTTTGAGATTGTTAACGTGATAATCATCCTTCTCCATTTTCAACACTACTCAATTTCTTTTTTTCTTTTTTTTCTTTTTTCCTTTATTTTTCTTTTTTTGTATTGGGGGGTGTCACTTAAGTACATAAAGAATAGACTTGAATTTGTTACTTATTATATTGCAATCTATGAGTTCAGTGCTTCATAAAAATGTCTTTATCATCTCCCACCTGTACTGTTCATGTTGAGGGTCATGCTTTGCTTTGGAAAGGTGATTCTGTTTCAGTGGGAGCATTTGAACTTCCTCGCCTGCTGTCAGCTGCTTCTTACTTCCTCTAGATAAACTATACGGATTCATTAACCGTTCCTTCCTCTCGAACATATCTCTAGCTCTAATTATYCATGAAAGTTGCTGGGCCCAATGTTGGGATTGAAATTTTTCTCACGGAAAGTTGATTTTTATATTTCCTCCTGAACTKGTAGATTTATTTCCCTGTGTCTGTTCAACCTAGCATCAGAAAAAGGCCCAATGTCATTTGGCTTCCAGAAGAAGTGTCCTCCACAAAGGCCCAATGATCGTGATGGTGCTGAAAGCCACAGACCCATTTGAATACGAGTCTGCYGAAGAGGGGACAAGTTCCATGTTCCACGCCACCGTGGCTACTGAGAATCAGTTTTTCCAAGTGAAGGTTTTCAACACCAACCTGAAAGAGAAATTTACAAAAAATAAGGTCATTACTATCTCTAATTACCTTGAGTGCAAAGGAATCCTGGAGGTAAATGCCGTATCGGTTGTGTCTGAAGCTGGTCTTGACCAAAAGATCGAGGTCCCCAACAGTGTTATCAAGAGAGCAAATGARACTCCCAAGATCGATCATCTTCATAAACAAGCACCAGGAACATTAGTGTATGGGTTGTTTATGCTACATACGGTAAGTTGTGAATTGCTTTTTTATTTTTCTCCACCAACATCTGAAATTAAATGTCTGCTTACTGGCTAAACGTTGGATCCTAGGATTCTACCCTGACTACAGACACAGAAGGGGAAATAGGACYAGGTGACCTTTTAACCTACTATTTCCCCAAATTCCTCCCCGAAAATTCTTTGCAAAAGTTTCACTAAGAAGTCTCATTTCCCTAGTTATCATTACCTATCCACAGTCACAGTGAGCAAGGACAATGCATGGCACAGAACGATATTCTTGGAGTCTGATTCCTTTGAACTCTATTGCAACTATATAATTCCTCACTTATTTCCTTCCTTCCTTTTTTTCCCCTTTCCTTTTGTTTGACGAATGGATCGCCCAAAAAAGGATGAATTCTGCTTGTAACATGCATTCAGAGGAATAAATGGATTGATTATGTTCTCCTGAGTGCAAAAACATTTAATAGGCAATGATCTAATCATTCAGTCATATCTGTTGTATTTTACTTATTTCATCAATAATTCATGAAGAGTTTATTGAACAATTTAGAATTATTKTATGGCATGATATTTGAAAGGCAAGTTAATCTAATCTCCTCATCTAAAAAAAATACAGACATTTCACTGATAGATCAATGCTCAAATTCAGGGCATCAGTATTCTGCATTCAATCAATAAAAAAATTTAACAAACTTTTGTGAAACYCAACTAACATGAAATTAACTGCTTTATAACTGTATATACCTGTCTTTTAATATTGCCTCTTCATTTTATATTGATTACTTTATTACACCCTTTTTATATATGCAATTATAAAGTTGATGAATAACAGCTTAATGAGTGAGACTCAATGCAGTATGAAGTGAGGAACGTAGGTTAACTGGAATAAGGTTATTGGAAAAGAATAAGTCAATGGAGAAGGTTTCAAAAAACATTAGGAAGTCACTAGAACTTACTTGTTATATAGATCCCCTGTTGAACAGTAGTAAAAATGTCTATTTATATCTGCATAAACAGAGGAGACATAGAAGTTCACCAGACCTATGACCACATTAATTCCAGGTTTTCTAAAAGGAATCAAATCTATTCCTGAGGAGGAAGCATTACAGACCAGGAAGAAGATTCATTGTTCTAGAATTGTTAGAAAAAGCCTAGAAGAAGAAAAGCAAAAATTAGGAAAGCAGGCAAAGAAAAGCAACATTATTTGAGAAGATCTTGCCAAGCTACATGTAGATCTATGCCTATAATCGACTTCTTACATTTTGTATTGACTTTGTCTCAAAAGTTTTCTTAAACATATGACGTATTTTCTGAAACTGAATGTTCATTTCRTTTTCGCAGAAAAAAGTGAACAAGAAGAACACAATCTATGAAATACAAGATAATACAGGAAAGATAGACGTGATGGGGAGTGGGAAATGGCACAATATCCAGTGTGATGAAGGGAATAAACTTCGACTCTTCTGCYTTCAACTGAGAACAATCAACAAGAAGCTGACACTGGTGTGTGGAGACCACAGTTTCATTAAGGTAGGAACTAGACAGAGAATAAGTTTGCCAAAAGGGAAATCAGGTTTTTTAGGATTTGAGAAACCATCTACGTGAACAGTTCAGTGGGTAAGAGGATTCAAATAATGCCCTTGCCTTGAGTGGAAGGTTTTTCTTGTTTCACAAGATATTAAGGAAATGGAACCAGGTGCGGTGACTCATGCCTATAATCATAGCAACTGGGGAGGCTAAGGCAGGAGGATCACAAGTTTGAGGCCAGCCTTGCCAACTTGGTGAGACCCTGTGTCAAATAAAAATTAAAATGGCCTGGGGTCGTGGTTCAGTGGTAGAGTRCCCCTGGGTTCTATCCCCAGTACCAAAAAATGAAAGGAAAAAAAAAAGATACTAAGGAAATGACATTCGTGTGGGTTTCAAAAGAATATTATAATTGTGCTGAATAATAAAATATCTCATGAAATTAAGAAGTCATTTTCAATAATGATAAAGAACAAGGGTTTTAAATAAGACACATCTGATTTGAATCCTGCCTTCAACACTCACTAGTTGACTRATTTGGGGGAAATAGTGTAATTGGTCTGCTAAAATAATGGAGCACTCCACTTTCTTGGGTTGTTTTGAACATTAAGGGAGAAAATGAATGTATATTCTTTATCTCACTGCTAGGACATGATGAGAAATTAATCTAGATAGATATTATTTTTCTAATCCGGGGGAAAATGACTAAGGCAAATTCTCTAAAGTGTAAACTAGCTCTATAAATTCTGTAGAGCTCAAACTCAGTAGATGTGGAACACCATAGGAAGACG